TTTATGAGAAGGTTTTTTATTAATATGTTTTTTTTGTATCTTTTCATGAAAACTCTCAGCTAGATCAATATTGTTTATCAACAAGTCAAAAGAATCTGATTTAAATCTAGTTAATATTATAAGCGCCAGAAATTAAAAAAAAAATAACCCAAAATTACGCCACCATAAAATATATATATAAAAGAAAAAAAGAAAATCGTATCGACGATATTTTTCCTATGGGCTATTTGACTTAAAAAATGCATTATTTCAACTAATAATGTAATAGACATACATCGAAGTATTTTTTTATTATAGTAATTAACATCAATATCAGATATCATCTATATGTATCCCAACTATATCGCGTCATCATTGTGCTGGGTTTTTAATATTTAAAATTTAGTAATATAATATAATACCTGGCCTTATTTTAGAACTTTACTTTTACTTGATATTTTGTTCGTGACTATTTTTATTCAGTACTTAGTATGGTACATGTATTTACTATCCGAAACATCATTATTATTAGAAAGATTTTTGTTATGAGAATACATTAATTAAATTATATGACCATTATTATAAAAATGTTGGTTTAGTATATGTAGAATTTCGATTGCTTTAAAGGTTATATATATATATAATATCCCATGAGAATCAAAAAATTGTTTTGCTGCGAGGCATACAAGTTTGTAAACCATGCCCTGTCACTGTAGACTATATGGTGTATAAAAACGTAGTTGGATAGTCATAGCTTAATTGAATAAAGTTGTTTCTTCCCAACACCCTGGTGTTATGCAGGATAATGGTAAAATAGTTTATGTTTCCTCAAAATAGTTCAGAAGTTTGTATTGTGGCATTATATTATAACATCTAATTATGTTTTGTGTTTTGATTTAATTACGACCATAACCAAAAGAACGACTTATTTTGAATGAACATTTGATATTTTAACAGTTTTATTTATAAGATTCGTTTATAAGATTTATTCATACTAAATTAAGAATTATTTATTTGAGTTAAAGATCATTGAAATAAATTATTTTTTCCAAATGTATACGTTCATAAAAAAACTATTGCACTAATAAATGTTGTTAAGTGTTTTTTTTAATAAAAAGGCATTCCTTTTGTTTATTATTAATTTTAAGATAAATATACTATTTTCTTAAATATTATTTTTACCTCTGGGAAATGTAACAAGTGATTAACTAAAACATAAAGCTTTGTAAGATATTAGTATTTAGATAAAAATCAAATAATAGAAATTATTATTTCTATTAAATAACCTTTTAAATAATGATCGTTATTTTGATATAATGTTGATTTTGTCTTTTTTTGAATTTGAATATTTTTCAGGAATAAATTATTCAAAGTACAAGTACTCCATTTTCTATTTTCATTAATGATCAGTTATTTTTACATTAATGATTCTGGAAGTTCAAGTAATGTTGAAACAGAAAAGTGCCAAAACTTATTAAGAACTTAAAACGTGAGGTTTTGTGTATATATTTACTGTCTTTATTTACCTTATTTGAAATATTCTAAGAAATAGATCAAATTCTTTATGGAATAATAAATAGTATAATCAGATTCAAAAAAATTCTATCAATGTATTCAGTGAATATTATATTATGGTAGATCACTTGATGTAAGTTCCAACTACAGATTGTTCGTTAAGATTTGTTTGTTATTTTAAAGATATTTTTTGGTTCTTTAAAAGTTGTTGAGTAAGAGTGTCGAGATTTTAATCATATTACTTTAAACTTTTGGTCTACTTATCCAAATGTGTATTATCAGATGATTAATTTCGAATAAGATTATTTGCGAGCATACTAAATGTGTCAAGTATTATTTGAAAATAACTTTTCACAGTACTCTTGTATAATCCATGAACCGATTATTAAAATACATCGTTGGTTTTAAAAATTATTCATAATAACACTTAAAACACTTCTATTCTGCTTCAATGTATTATTATAAAATTATAAAATTATTATAAAATAATAAAATAGTCGTGGAAAACATGTTATTTGGTATTGCATCTACCAACATTTTTATCCTTAAAATACTTTAAAGAAGCGACAAACAGCATTTTTCATAAAAAAAAAATGTTTACTTTACCCTGAGTAACTTTTATGTGACTGAAAGAAATTGTTATGTTATACTACTGGTAGTTTAAACGAAACATGGCGACTGTGTTGACTACACCTTAAACTAACTACACATTATTTACTTTACTATAGTTTACTTGTTTAGTGGCTACATAAATTAAATTCTTGTTGAATGGTTTGCCAAACTTCGGGATAGAGATAAGTTTGCATTTGAATCTGATTGGTTAAGTTTATTTCTTATACAATTATATTTATATAAAAAAAGTATATAAAAAGTAATATAAAATTATTAAATATCTTTTATAAATTTGACACGTATGTGAGATTAATATCATTGTAAATTGACAGCTAACGTTCAAAGGCGATTTATTACATAGCTTATGACCTTCGTCAACTACAAAAAATGTTTCACACATACATATAAAAAAAAAAGGCTATGCTTTTGACCAAAATCAGTATAAAAAGTTTTTTACTGCGATTTTATTTATTGTGAAATCATTGGTATGCGTATAAGCAAAGCTTTTTCACTAAAAATTTTAATTTATTTGAAATTATGTAAGAAGACTTCGAGAAAATCTTTAATGTTTTTTTTTTAATTTTACACATATGCTAATTTACTTATTTATATGTTATTGATAATTTAAGAATTTTAAAATTAACAACGGTAACATCAAAGATATGATTTTTTTAAAATAACTACTTAAGCTTTTGACTGGCCTAGATAACCCAACTGCAGTTAACTTGCAGAGAGACAATTTAAATCTTTGTTTATTCATAATTACAATTAAAATTTTTACATAAAACCAAAACAAACTTATTTAAATTAGACACTTGTTAATTTACAAATATTAATGAAGTTTACTTTAATTAAGCTTTCAATTATTGTTGAAATCGATCGTAATGTCGTTAAGCATTTACTTTTATTCGTGCATTGTGCTTGTTACCAATGCTCGTAGTAGCTCTAAATGTAAAGTATAATAATTATACATAATATTGCATACTTTTTGTTTTTGCACATGAGGTTTAAAAACAATATTATTCTTTAGCATTTTGTACCAACACACAATTTATAATATAACATAGTAGTGTTTGAATTATAAATAATGTTAAGACTTTAGTTCGTGTCTCTGTAGATTTAAATAATATCAATAACATATTTGGTGTACTGATATAAAATGTTTATTATTGGAGGATTATATACAAGTAATGTGTTATATTCTTCTTTTGTAGATTTCAGTATTACTTTTCCTATATTTCATTCCTTGAATATTATTACTTTTCTTAGAAAGTACATTCATGTTGTTCATTGGATTTTGATTTCCTTTTACACACTTCAATGGCATTTTAATTTTTCTATGGCCAAGTACTCATGTCTAATGTGACAAATATTACATTGCACTAAAATTACCTTCTATTTACTAGTTAATAACTCTATAAGCATATATTAATTAAAAAATAATTGATTTCTCAGAACGTTTTTATTTAATTATGTAAACAATTGAAACAAACCGTAGTTCACTTGAAATTAGATAAAGTTGTTAATGTTGTTATGGTTTACACAAAAAAAAATTATTATGTACATACTGTTCAAACATTAAATGTACTAATTATATGATTATACTTAATTTTAGAGAAGTCAATTACTATGCATTTGGTTTGCACATTTTACTAGATTTTCTCATAGGAATATATAATCTAATTTCCGTGATGGAAACACTAACCACAGCATGTGCTATTATAGTATATTTCGACTTTGGTTCCACTTTAATTAAACAATAGTATATTAACTCGGAAGTTTAATCTTTCAAAACTATTTAAAAATGGTTTAATAACTAATAACTAATACTAATATATAATACCCAATATAATAATTTAAGTCTCTGAGGTTATAATAAGGAAATAATGTTAGGTTATGTTAAGTTTTAAGATAGTTTGTAGTAATGGTTCTTTATTTAGCATTTATACAACTTTGTTATCTCATTTAATATGTTGAAAAAAAGTTTTTCTAAAACATTTGATTAATTAGACTGGCATTTCTAATTGTATGTTTTAGAGAAATATATTTTATTATTACTAATAATTATTTTTAATCATTCATTTCATTCTAATTTTTTTCTTCGGATAACATGAAAAATCACTTATTATTCAAAAAAAAAAAAACCCAACCCAGCACAGCGGGGACGTGGCATAGTTTGGGTCAAGTATAAAAAACGATTCGATGCAAATCTATAGATAGTGTTTAATTTAAAAAAAATTGTTGGATTAATCTAAAAGCTACATGATCTCCTATTTCCTTATTTATATTTTGATTACAAGTGTTATGATTTATAAGTGTAATATATGAATAAATATATATATTTATATATAAAGGGAAATGTCTTTTTTTTTAAAAAAGTATGTCGAATGAAAGAGGTATATAAATATTATTACTCATAAATAAATTGTATTAATCCATACATTTTTTTTGAGATAACCCCTAATTAAGGGGAAGGAGGAAAATATTTTCAATTTTTGAGGTTTTTCTCTTCGACTAGATACGATTTATGATCGTTCGACGTATCGTTGAAAGAAATCGGTTCAGAGAGAGCTGAGAAAAAGTGGTAACAGACACAAAAAAAAACACATTATAGTAAAATTAATACCTTCTCATCTTCGCATCGAAGCTAAAAATATAAAATAGTAAAAGAAAATATATTAAAATCTTTTTTTTTTGTATCATCATTTTATTTTCCATATATTAAAAAATTATATAAATTTACATGATTTATTTCTAAAAAACATATTTATTACACTCGTTATTCTCTTTTAAAACTAAATTATTTTATTTTTCTTAAATATTTCCATGAAACATTTAAATACTTTGTCTCTATTTAACAAAATGTAACATTTTATTTTTTTGTTTTTTTACAGAGGATGATTGGAGTGATAGCAAGACAAAGGGTTCTACCGAACAACCCGGTAAGCTAATATTTTTTATACTTCCAAATATCTATAAATATATTATAAATTATAATTTATGAGCGATGATATAAATATTTTACTACAAAATTTTGCTTTAAATATTAAATTTGTTTATGTTTGTAATAAGCAAATATTTCAAATCGAGTAGTAAATTTAGTTTAAAGTACAAGTATAAGGTAATAACATTCTTAAAAAATGTTTTAAATACTCTTTATTGTACGAATTTCCTTAAAGGCTATAATTTAACTTTTATTTTTAACTGTAGTGAATACACTATGGAGATAAAAAATATAATAAACCGTGAAATGAGTTATAACAAATTTATTTGATATAAAAACTAAGTTGAAAGATTTATAAGTGCTGAAATGAAAAAATATTTATTATAACACAAAGTATATAATATACGAGTTAACACGTGAGAAACTGTTAAATAATTAATAATTTGAAGTATTAACTCGAATTCCTGAAAATTGTTTACTCGTCAAAAAATACTTTACCAAAAATAATATCTAGCTAGAAAAACAATTTAAAAGTTATCTTCTTAGTGAAACTTTATGAAAAAAATTCTATTTTTTTTGGAATTGCTCTTTTTTTACAAAATATTTTGTAAAAATGTATGACGCTATTTTAATAGTGTTATATTATTTTAATAAGTGTTCTGTACTGTTTTTACTTCAATACATTTGTGTGTCATCATTTTATATGATAAATTTCAAATCATGGTTTGTTATTTCATGAATAAATTTATTTAGAATTTACTACATGATTTCTAAATATTTACTTTTCATTTTTGAATATCATAATGTAAATAAATACTGGTCGAACCCTTTAAATGTCTCATTTCCTGTTATAACGTAAAAAGATATATAAACTTGACTTAAAGAATTTATTTCGTATTTCACGTTTTAAATAGCTTGTTTTATTTATTTATTGAAATTTAAAGTTATCAGAATGACTTCAGAGAAAAAGATATTGAAAACTATCGTATTTCATAGAATTTTAGTTTGAGTTCCTTGCATAATTTTAACATTTATCTCACTATATCATTCTAGTATTACGTTGCGAAAAATATGTGTTGTTCTAAGTTTTATGTATGTGATAATAATCTGGCAACAATTTTAATCAAATAATGTACATGAATTCCGTTTCGTACGGTTATATGGAAACATGTGTCTCTCTAAAACTAGTGCGCCAAGCAATACAGACAGCTGGCCAATAATGACACTATAGAGAATGCGGAAAAAACAGACAAAATAAAAAAATTACTCTTATATATTAGCTGGCACAAGTTTTTGTCGCATATCTAATGTGAGTTAGTCTGTGCGTGTGATGGATTCTGTGAAGTGTAAGCATCGGTTAAAAAACTCCTTATTTTTCGGGAAATGTCAATGCCACCGAATGCAAATGGCAGTTTTCGACGAAACAAGTAAGTGCTATATTCGTAACAGTGTATTTTGTAAAAATTGTATTCTTGTAATAAGTTTATAGGTAATCAAAATTTAAGTATACGTAATATGTCTTGGGTTCTGGTAGTTTTCTTTGATGTTTCGGTAATTTTTAAAAGAAATGTCAATATTTTTGCTTAAATTCGCGAAATTTAAACAAGATAGACAGAATTTGTATACATATATATTTTTCCTTTGAGTTTAAATCGAGTTTTCTCTTGTTATTTAATTTAGAAATGAACAAAATATTATATTTTTTGTAGATTTGATAACTATTTATTTATGAAATTGGTTTTTTAACTATTTAAGTGAAAAAAAAGTTTTTAATGTACTTTGAACTTGATTTACTTTGTCGTTCTACCAAATTTTCTTTTTCGTGGTTAAATTCTAAAATAACAAAATGTTATTTTTCACAGATTTCATATATTTTAAGCATTGTTGGTTGTCTATTTGTCATATATATATATATATTTTTTTTTTTAATTCATCGCATAAAGAAATCTAATCGTTCGTGAAATCTTCCTTGAATTTATCTATCCATCAATTTTATACAGATTTTTTAGTTTGCTAATCTTGCCTTAAATAATACTGTAACTTACTCAGACCATTTTCGCAATTTTTAATATTCTATAAAAACCGAGTACACACTATATAATATATAATTAAAATCAAATTAAAGCAATTAAATAGACAGTAGTATAATTACCATTAATATTTAAAAGAAAACGATTGTATTAATTACTTAAAGTGAATAAATAACTATTAACTGTTTGTATGTTCAAAGTTGTTGTTAGTGCCAAATGAAATGACCTATTTATGAGGATATTTTGGTATGAAAAAATGATTTCTTCATTAAGTATTTTATTCAATATATCGTTATGAACTATACTATTCAATTTTTAGGGCAGTATTGAAAAAATTCCAAATTTGATTATTGAAACAGATTTGAATATTCCTTATAATTTTATTAAATTTATTCTTTTCAACATGAGCATATTGTACATACTGATGGGCGATTTCTCTTTGAATAATTAATCAAACAAAAATGATGGATATCGGAAATACTTTTAAGCTCTAATGAATATTTGAGCTCTAGTTAGTTTTTAATTCAAAAAATGATCATTTTCCAAACGATTTTATGAACTATGTTAATGTTTTTTAGTAAAATATTTCACGAATAAATAAATAAAATTGAACACAGTTCACAAAACAAAGAGAATTTTTCGAAACAAAATAATATTATACTATTTAAAATGTAGTATTTGAGATCATCGTTACATCAATAGTTATTCGCTATTTTTGGCATGAANAAATGTAATATTTTCCACACTACGATAAGTCTAAAATATAACGTGAAAAATTTATTTAAATATATCATATTAATGTCTTTATAATTTGTANTTTGAGATCATCGTTACATCAATAGTTATTCGCTATTTTTGGCATGAAACCAAAAATTAATCAAAAAATGTATTTGTAGAGCTCTAGTATTGTATTATACATATTTTCCACACTACGATAAGTCTAAAATATAACGTGAAAAATTTATTTAAATATATCATATTAATGTCTTTATAATTTGTATAACTCGTGTGTATATGTAACTGAAATGTTAGTATTTGCTACGATTTGACAATAATATTAGGACTTTTATGAAAAAAATAGGCAGCTTTAGACTATTTTCATCAATATGATCTTGGCTGCTAATTAAAAATTACAGTGTGTATATATAAAGATTTAAGAGATCATAAAACAAGTTCACTATAAAAATGATAAAATAAGGTTTTCATTATTAAATAAAATTCCTTATTTTTAATACATTTTGTAGAATTTTATGTAATGAAAGTAAAATAGTCAGTTATTCTTCATGAATTTTTAGCTTTCATTGGTTTGTAAACATCAACTACATTAATTTCACCGTTTGTTTTTTTAATAATATTTTATTTAGTATTATACTGAATGCTGTGTTGTAAATTTGGTAATTAGTTTATAATTCTGGGAAATTTCAATTAATTGTATACTAAGAAATCTTAATGATAATTACTTACTAGCAAAATATTTATTTCATTTTTTTCTTTAATACCAAAAAAAAAAATCTGTATACTTATATTTTCCCAAAAACTAATAAAAATTAATTTCCACGAAACAAATATTAGNATTTTCCCAAAAACTAATAAAAATTAATTTCCACGAAACAAATATTAGTTGTATTAATTTTGTTTGTAGAGTTTGTAAATATAAATGTACATTATAATTAAAATAGCCAAATAATGCTTCTTGTTCAAGAACGTTTTCATTATTTTTTACGAGTAATATTTAGTTCAAGTTTTTATATTGTTCTTAAATAAAGTAGCAAATTATATATATATATTGATTTCCCTGAAATTTATTTTACATAAAATAGTTTAATACTTTATTCTAAATAGAATATATAAATACATATAAGTAATTATATTTACAAGCCTAGTTAATCAAAGGTCGAAACTATAGTAGTTGTCTTTTTAATTTTATTATTCTTGTAATATTTTTTCATTTTTTATTAATATTAGTTAACATAGTATCCATAGATATTATGTTAAATTTAAGAAGAATTTTAATCAATTCACACGATTTCTACGATATTTAATAGTATCAATGTAAAATTATCCGACACTTCTAGAAAAATTTATCTACTTATCGTGTTTCATGATTTATGAAAATTGCCATGAAATTGGGTTGGGTGTAATAGAAAATGACGTGTACACTTAAAGCTTAAAATTTGTCAATGGAGGCCAAGGCAAATACACCTTAATGTCACAGGTTGTAAAATGTACATATTTTATATTTACATGAATGTACTCTGACACTTTGTTATGATGTATGAAAATCATTAAAGATTTTCCATTTTTTCTTAATTTTTGTGTCTTGATTATATAAGAAAAAAGTGTAATATAAACGTTGATATTCTTAACAATAATTAAAAAATTACACACCATCAATTGTATTTGTACATATAACTAACATCGAGTTTAATCTTAATCTTTCTATTAAATAAATTTAAACTTATACTTTTTATTGATTTTAACTTTTACTAGATTCTTTGGTTAATATTCCTGAATTTCTTTAGTTGATAATATTATTTCACACAAATTTTGTTGACTGTAATTAATAAATTACCTTCTTTTTAAATCAAATTTTTAAAATGAATTAATAAACTAGAAATTATTAAAATTTTAAAAACTATTTATGAATTTGATTGGAAATTAATATCTATTTATGTAAAATTTATAAAGTAATAAAATACAAAAGTTTAACATTTTTACTTTTTTTATTTATTAGACTAATAAAATTTGACTTTGATTTTTAAAAGTTTTGCATCGCTGTATGATTAATTATATTTACAAAATTAAAAAAAATAATAATAATATTAAAGTATATAATATTATATATTAATTATAGTTTTGAAATAACTTGACAAATATTAAGCATGTTTTACTTATTCTAGCAGTTTCGAGAAATTCTCCATAATATTTATAGCTCTTCATGTTTAATTTTTAATTACATGCTTCAGTT